GATAGCGAAGGTTCGCCCAGCGAAGGTGCTGGCGAGTGGTGGCGAATGAAGTCAGTAGCTACTGACTTGGGCTCGCTGGGGAGTTTCGTCAGGCGAAGCCTAGCGAGTGTTCGCTGAGAGAGTTCGCCAGGCGAAGGCCAGGCGAAGGTTCGCTGCGAGGGTTCGCCAGGCGAATGAAGGCGAATGTGACAACATTCTTCTTTTGCTGTGTTGCTCATGTGGTGATTGTTTGATTGATTCGCATAGGTTAATACCTCTATGATATGATATAGATATGATCTATTGTGATGATGTGTACTGTGGGTAGCCTCCGGGCGTGAATCCTAGTTGAGGTGTGATGCGTATTAATTATGATAAATAGAAATACATGTGAAATACAATGATGAATGTATATGTATTGTCTAATGAACTTGTGAATGCTTAATGGGTATACAATTATGTGAGAGATGCATGGGAACATATCATGGATATGTGTGCATCGTTAATAATTGTGAGGGATGCATGGGAACATATCGTGGATATGTGTGCATCGTTAATAATTGTGAGGGATGCATGGGAACATATCGTGGATATGTGTGCATCGTTAATAATTGTGAGGGATGCATGGGAACATATCGTGGATATGTGTGCATCGTTAATAATTGTGAGGGATGCATGGGAACATATCGTGGATATGTGTGCATTGTTAATAATTGTGAGGGATGCATGGGAACATATCGTGGATATGTGTGCATCGTTAATAGTTGTGAGAAATGCATGGGAACATATCGTGGATATGTGTGCATTGTTTGATGACGTGATAATAGCATAAATGTCATGGATATATGAAATATGCTTGTGAACATAATGGGTTTTGGATGATTAGGGAATATGTATGAAGGGATATGTTTGGGTATGTTCATATTTGTTGAATATGGTAAATATAACTATGAAATGAATTTGTGGTGGGAAACGTAGAATGCAATTATATGATACCTGTATATATATAATCTTATGCATTGATTATTATGGTTATATTTCTCACCCTTCTGCTGCTTTATAATGCTCTATGAGGCATTGCAGATTAGGATGCTGGAGTCCTTTTGTGAAGAATAGTCTTCATTCTTTTGAGTCTGCTGCTCTGATATGTAACACCGGGTAGTTAGACTAGTATAATCATTCTTTTGTGATACATTGCGATGTATCAGCTGATGTGGTTTTGTAATCTAACTGATATGATGTATTAATCTGGATGACTTATGTGCATTTGAATTAATATTTTGGAACTGATCAAATGATGTTATCTTCCGCTTAAATTAAATGTTGAAATGTGATTTCTAAAACTATGAAAAATGTTACATATTTTATAGAGCAAAAATGTGAAAGTGTTTTATTGGTAAAGTTGTGACATTCTTCTTTTATACCTTATTCTAAAACTTTTACTCTGATGAATTTGTATATGCTTAAATGTTTTATATGCATTTATTTGGGGTATAGAAGGGGGTGTTACACACAGTATATCGCGTAGTAATAATAGATATCGATCCCACAGGGACTCGTAATCAAACTAGTGTTCTCGGGAGTTACTATGTTTAACTAGGTAGAATATGTTTAAGGGGATAAGATTGTCACTAAAAGGGAACTAAGAATGCTACTTAGATTATAAATGATTGAATCGATATGCAGTAATTGTATTCTTCAGGGATTTGACAAGTTACCGGTGTATGAAATAATTTTCAAAGTTTATTTAAGCAGAAAATGGTGATTTGAAGACTCTCGCCTCACGATGGTTATTGACGCTAATCATAATTCTAAGGGCCAAACGTACACTTTCGTATCCCATTCGGGGTTAAAATTATTTTTTGGAAATCTCTAAGTTCTAATTCATTTTAAAGTGCTTTCGCTGTTATTAAAATGAATGACTAGTGTTTACTATCTGACCTTACCGCAACTTTCGCTTGTTGGTTCGTATCTTAATTAATTTCCCACTTTCGTGGCAAAACTACTTTTAAATAAGTTCTCGCTTTCGCGACGAAGTTTATTCAGTAAATTGATTTTAAACACTCAGACCATAAATTACTTTTGAAAAGAAAGTTTTTCAACCAGTTGTTATCAAATCCCATTCGAATTATTACCACATATCGATTACTTAAATTTAGCTAGACATGGATTTGGGAAAGATATAACATAAATAAAAACAATAAATAATAATTTGCATTATAATAAAACTGGAAACACGATTGAAATGAGAAACCTGTAAATATTCCAATTGGCCTTTGGGCAGATCCTCCACAGATGTTGGCAGGATTCTGGTCTCTATGCCAATTTGATCGTACAATGAAAGTAAAAATTACAGAAGAATGAAATGGAATGCAGAAAAAGTAAAGATAAACAAATAAGAATATTGAACTGGAAAGTATGCTTTGGAAATAAATTTGGCAGCACTTCGTGGTATGAATGCGGCTCCCTTTTCTGAGGTCCCCTTCTTCCCCTTTTATAGAAGTGGAATTCTAACGGTTATCATTGAAGATGGTTGACTTTGAGGCAGATAAATCAGGGAGTAGTGGTCCACTCTGTGAGAATTAGAACTGCTTCTGTTACGTGAAATTGAAGTGGGGCGTTTTTGCCTGCATGACGGTCGTCACAAGGTGTGATGGTCGTCACCCGTGTGACGCTCGTCATGGAGCTGTGACGGTCGTCACATCAGCAAAAACAGCCTTCTGCGCTTTTCATGATGTTTTCACTCTTTTTTCGTCGATATTTCATCTGAGATTGCTTCTTTTCTTCATGTTGCCTTGTTTAGACGTGATTGTTGAATACCTGCAAAACATCAGACAAATAACACGGAAATAACCCGAAATCGGATCGAAAACGGTTAAACTTTAGTTGAATTATGCATCAAAATATATATACGATTTCGTGTTATCAGGTTACATTTTTCAGAGGGGTAATCGAGCTTGAAGAAGTCCAAGTGCTAAAGGTTTCAACAAAACATAATGTTGTTGATATGATCACCAAGACATTGCTTAGTTGCAAGTTTTTTCAGGGTATGTAGTTGATAAAGCTGCATGAAGAAAGCTAGTTTGTTCCTTGATGTTATAAAGTTTGTTCCAAAGTGGAGATTTGTAAGTATTTGATCAAACTCTAGTATGATTGAAGGTAGCATCTTGTTCGACAGTTGGACAGATGTTTAGCATGCAGTCGAAGACCGTTCGCATGTTGGTGTCGAAGTAGTATATGTTGTAATCGAAGTAGGGTCAATCATGCAGTTGTCAAAAGTGCTAGATTTGTTAGCATGTCGAATTGGGCTTATTTGTTATGTCCAATTGTTTAAATTAGCTTATACCCTAAATTAGCTTGTAATGGATAATTGTTAAAGGCTCATTAGTTTAGTATGTTAGATATTTATTATAAATAGCATACTAGTCTCTCATCACAGGTGTGGCAAATCATAAATAGGGTGAGAGGGTTATTTGTTATTCTTGAGTACTTGTAATCTGATTTAAAGAGAAAGTAAAGAATAGCAGTTATAACCGATCTTTGTTCTTCTTCTTGTTTTTTTCCCGATAACCTTAACCCTTGTATGTAGCTCGAATAAACAACTTGACTCGTATTTCAATATTATAATTTTAATTTTATAAAAAAATGTAATGGATAAGACCTACACATAAATAGAGAATAATCATAAATTTAGTTCTATGGTGTTTAAAATATTCATCAAATCAACATATATATATATATATATATATATATATATATATATATATATATATATATATATATATATATATATATATATATATATATATAATTATGACTTTTATTGTTATATAATATTGTATAGAATTTTGTTATATAATATTCCAACTATATATGACTACATCACGTTCACGACGCCACAATGATACAATGATACCTATTCCAACTGTATATTTTAAACACAACAATCTAGCTTTCAAAACATCATCTCAAAAAACTTATAATGCACTAAAATCATTTTCAAAAGTAATTGTCTTTTGAATAAAAAAAGATATATAAACAAAACTAAATTAGAAACATTCTTGGTCCAAAAACCACCACAAAAAATTAAAATATAAACACAAATTTCTACAAATGCATTGTTTTTTTTTAAAAGAGTGAACTTTGGATTGATTGTTTACTTAATATTATCGGATATCCAACTTTGAATTTGGACAGTCAAATAATGATATCCTCTCCCCCATTTACCACCGTCCGAACCACCACAGACAACACTCTATATCTTCATTGCTGTCTCCACAACCATCTCCAGCATTCTCATCATTATCAAACTAAATGAACTTCTCAAGTAAACAAAGGGAGTAGCTAAAACAAAACGTTTTCATTATCCAAACAAATTCCTACAAGAGAGGCACGGCATTCAAATCACATAATTTGGTATACATTGAACAATTATCTCTCACATGGGAGGTGCCATATCTAAGATATACAGACATAACAAAAAGAAATAAGATTCTAAGCCTTCTTAGGAGTTTTCTTGGCCTTGGAAGGAGATTTAGGAACAGTCGCGGCACTTTCTTTCCTCTTAGGCAAAAGCACAGGGTTGATATTAGGAAGAACACCACCATAAGCAATAGTCACACCAGCAAGCAATTTCCCAAGCTCTTGATCGTTCCTAATAGCCAACAGCAAATGCCTTGGACTAATCCTATTCTTCTTGTTATCACGTGCCGCATTTCCAGCCAACTCAAGAACCTTCACACAAAAACAAATTCCAAAATTAGGGTCAGATTCAAAATTTAAATTAATTTCAACTCAGTAGCAATGAATTTCAAAGAGGATATAACTACCTCAGCAGCAAGATATTCTAGAACAGCCGCAAGGTAAACAGGAGCACCAGTACCAACACGTTGAGCATATCTACCTTTCTTCAAGAAACGACCGATTCTTCCGACAGGGAACTGAAGACCAGCTCTGACGGATCTTGTCACCGATTTCTTCCTTGGTCCACCGCCTTTCCTTCCTCCTGCTCCCTTCTTCACCTTTGTGCTTGCGTCCATTTCTTCAATCGAACACTAGATTCAAGCTATGAATTTGTTGAACTGTGAGAAATGGTAAAGATGAGATAAAACTAAATTTGGTGTAGGCAAGGTTTTATACTTTCAGGGTCATGGTAAGGATCTTGCTTTGAAAAGACTTCCACCGTTAGATCAGACACTATGATTCATATCTATGGCTAGCTGTTGCTTACTTGGCGATCCGTTTCTCCTAAAACTGACCAATGAGAACCAGCCTGGCCTTTTTTTTAATTGAATTTCACTTCTTTCAATTTTGTTTTATTTTTCCTTAGAACAACTTTAGTACAGAATTCTTAAATCAAAATTTTGTATAATTAATAAAGAATTTGCATTATAATAGAGCTGACATGACATTTAAGTGAACTAAAATTTAATTCCCATTATTTATATAGTTAACTTTAACTATGTGAAATATATTATAATATTATTTATTTAATTAATAAAATATTTCAACAGCATTAAAGTAATGACATGGTATTTGAAAATAGTAACGATCATATTATCATTTTTTACCTTTTATAAATTTTGTAGAAACTTTAATTTTTTTTACACACAATTTTACTTCTAAATTTTTTTTTCCATTTTCAATCTTAATTATTTATCATTTTTTTTAAGTAATGGCATCTAATGTAATTTTTTTTATGTATTATTGTTGTAAATTTTGTATCATTTTTAATTTTATAATAAAATATATTTAATATTATTTCTAAGTTTTTAAGGTAAATTTTATTTAAAAAATTGTATGCATTTTAATTAAAATAATTAAAATAATTAAATTAATGGCAACTTGAATAAAAAATATAAAATGTGGGGTCAAGTTTTGGTTTCTTATAGACAACCGTTATTAAAGTAAAAACTACTCAAATCAACTATAAATTTTTTAAATCCTACAAAACATTTTGGTCTCACAAAAAATATCTTAGTTTACTCTCATTAAAGATGCTCTTACTCAACGAAATCTCTTCATTAACACGTGAAGTGTGTTATTTTAAAATTAATTTTTTTAATTGTTTAGCGGATTTGTTTTAACTTTAAAAAAATATTTTTTTTATTTTTAAAAATAGATTTTATAAAATTATTTTTTAAATATTACAATTTTTTATATTTATTATTTATAAATTGTGAAACATAAATATATATTATTAAAGATTAAAACATAATTGAAATTACAATTTTTAAAAAAAGTTGTATCTTAACACTGATTTTTATGAAAAACTATTTGAAATAGCTTCAAAATTAAGTAATTTTTTAAAATTTTGATATTCAAATTTTTTTCATTAAAATAAAAAAAATATCTAGAATAATATTTTAAGAATAATTATTCAAACCAAATTTTCATTTATAAATTTTTTTATAAATTTTTTTCACAAAATTATATTACATTATAAAAATCATTTATAAAAAAATAAAACAAACGAGGCATAATTCAATTGTAAATATAACATTAACAATAATGAATATTGTTTTTATTTAATGAATTGACTGGTAGAATAATTTATCTAAAACAAATATTAATACTAATACTAATATATTTAGAATGGAATAATAGTTAATGGCTAAAATTTAAATATTAATAATCGGTAGTTGGTACTCTTTCTTTGTGGTAATATTCTTTTTCTTACCCAGTAACAGGTAGTTGATAATTTGTTTACCTTATCCAGTAATCGATAATTAGTAACTTTTTCCTTCTGATTTATTACTATCGCTAAACTACTCAGAAACCATTAGTTGGCAATATTCCTTTCCCTACCCAGTAACAGGTAGTTGATTATCTCTCGACAAATGGATTATTTTTACCCAGTGACCAATATTAAGTAATACATCTCTTTGTTTTTCTACCCAGTAACCGGTAGATTATAATTCTTTTGTGCTTATTGCCCTTATTTTCTACTCGGTAACCAGTAGAAAATATTTTACCTCTTCTCTTCGGTTTGATTATCTTCGCCCAGTAACTGGCAGTTGGTATCTCTTCCCCAGCTGAGTTGATTCCTTTTCTTTATTGGAATAGAATCTTACTCTTTTGTTTCCCCCTGCAGTGTCTCTTTTCTTCTTTTGTTCTCCAGCTGTTTGTTTGTCTCTTGTGGTTTGTTTTTTCCACAAAGGTCTTGTGTCTGTATATCATTAGCATAATCATATCATTTTATGGCCTCTTAGGGCCAAAAATTGGGTTTATTGTTATATTTAAGTCTCTTCTATCTGATCGAGACAAAGATGTCAATCTTCATATCTCCGGATAGAATAAACTTAAATAGGGGCAGATGTAACACCCTAATTTTTATCCCTAATATCCCACATATCATTTGTATTTTATACCACAAACAAGATCACAAGCTTTAGTTCTCTTGCCTTCCTTTGTGTGTTTATTCTTGAGAGATCACCGGGCCCTCCTGTTTTCTTGTTTGTTTGATATTTGTTTACGTTTATGATTACTAACCATTATTCAAAATTTAAAAAGTGTTTGTTTTTCCTTTACTAACTTTTTTCAGGAAGAATTTGGATCAAGGATATCAAATACTAGTCTCTTAACTCGAATGAATTTCATCTGAACAAAGTCAAAGTTGATCTGCAAACAATTCAAAATTATTTGATCAAGAGTTTCCCAAGATTTAGTTGACCATTATTCAAGAGACTCCAAGGTTCATGTGTTTATTTTCATGCCTTCTTTGACAAGTCAGAAAAATCAAGGCAGAGCCAAGACAACACATCAAAAGGTAAATTTTCACAATTTTCACTGTGTTAATCGATTAACACATTTGCACATGCAAATGGTTAATCGGTTAACTAGTGCATTTTTTATGAAAATGCAGCAAATTCAAATTCTGCAGCATTTTTGGCACCAAATTCAAATGTCTCATCATGATAATATTCTAGATCACTTCATTTTTATTCCCCTACCCCATCATAATTGATCCCCACCATACACCTTCACTAATCACCATTTGATCTTGATTTTGCCTCCAAATTCAAATTCCAAGCCTAATTTTGGTTCCAAACCAAATTTCTAAGCCAAAATTCTATAAATAGAGGCTTCATTCCATTCATTCTTCAAACTTTTGATAGCCAAATTCACCTTGTCAAATTTCTTTCTGACTCTCTTTTTTCTCCAACTACCAAATTCATCAAAGCTCTTTCTTTCTTTGAAGGTTAGTAAATTCATCATTAGGACTTACTAATCTTTGAATTAAACCTTCACCCATTCACTTTTTCATTATCGATTTTAGTAGATCAAGGCTTTGGAATGTGGTTCTTGAAGCAATTTCAGATTTGAAGTGGTAAACCCTCATTCCACCATTGTCGTTCTTGATCCATCCTTCATAGTGTGATCTATTGTTGATTCTTGTTGCTTGATCTTTGGATCTTGCGAATTTGGTTTATTGGTGGTATTTGATGTTGTTTTACTTGAATTTTTGTGCACAATTGCATCCTTGGTCATGAGGTGTTTGAAGAAATGATTGATCAAGGATTTTGCAACTTTCAAATTGATTTTCTACTATTTTTACAGTGTTAATCGATTAATAAAAAACAAGCACAAACTGATTAATCGATTAATAGTTGGTTTCTGCGCCCAGAATTACAATTTTACACTGGTTAATTGATTAACCAGTTTTGCACTGCAAATGGTTAATCTGTTAACCAGTGTCCAAAATGTGAATTTTGATTGTTTTTTGGACTGCTTTGGTTCTTTCCTCTTCTTTTTCCATTCTCTTTTGATTTTTTTTCCTTGGAATACACTTTTAAAGGTCCTTTTCCTCTTTAAATTCATTGGACTTAGGGTGTAGATGAAGTTGGATAAACATTCATTAATTCAAATATATCTTTAAAGTGAATTGTTCAATTCATTTTAGGTGCTTTGAGTTAATGGTATGTTTAGTGCTTTAATCCACCAAGATGAGTGGATGAGCTTAAAGATGGAATGATCTTGAAATTGTATTTCAATTTGGCATCCCCTCTCCTCTTCTCTTTTTTCTTTTGATCGATGAAAATCTTTGATATCGTTTGAACTTATTTCAAGCTCTTGATGAAGATGAGATCGTTATGTATTTTCTTTTCGTGCGGTATTGCTTTCGGAGAGTGGTCTACATATCACTCCTCTAGCATGCATTAGTACTAACATTGTTATTGACCGACCTCATATAGTCGTGGTTTCTACATAAACCCGATTACGATTGCTGAAGATAACGTTAAATTGTCCCATAATCAGAAAATGATCATTTGTGGCTCAAACTTATGTTTGAAAGTCCAAGTATGGTTGATTATTTGCCTTAGGTTTATTACCTATGAAACTTGTTGTTATAAGGCTTTGATTTTATCAATCCTCTAATGAGTCTTCATTAACTTTGGCCTAAGTGCATGAGTTAACCATCATTGATCATTTGTTCTAACAACTAATCACTAACTCACTAACAATATCATTGTGCTAATTTTGTTTATGTTTCTTTCTCGCTCCCTATCTCTCTTTTATTTTTATGCTTCATTATTATCATCTCATATCATATCATATTATTGTTTATGCTTCCACCATCTTTCCTTTGTCCACTTGGACCTTTTGTTAATGTTTATGTTCTTTTTCTTTTGTCCATTTGGACTAAAAACATTAATAAAGGCTTAAACTCCTAAAAAACCCGTTCTCTTAATGGTGGACTATGGTTACTATCCTTTGCATTGGATTTAGACCTTGGACCTCTTGGATCATTCTTGGACCATTGGACTTAGAATTAGGTCTCTTTCCCTATGCTTAAAGTATTATGGATCTTTGTCTTTATTTGACTTGCTTATTTGCTTATGCTTCAAGATGGATGGAATTCTTATTTCTCTTGCTATGAAGTGTGCTACAATTTGATTAGTTCCTTTTTGTATCTAACTTTTATTTTGCTTTCTAGGGTAGTCACTTCATCTTACCCCCTTCTTAAATTTTCAAAATCTTATCCTTTTTTCAAAAACCTTCTTGTTTTCAAACTTAAAACCGCTTTCATAAAAAAAAC